ACTGCACAACAGAATTATAGTGCCATGATTCCACTTGAACCGCCCTGGTTCTGTCCTAAGGAATCCTGGGACTGGGAGAGCACATTTAGAATGACCTTGGGCATGTCACACACTCTCAGCTTCAGAGGATGGCAATGGCAAACCTCCCCTGAACAAATCTTGCCAAGAAAACCCCATGATAGGTTCGCCTTAGGGTCACCATAAGTTGGAAATGACTTGAAAGTAGACAACAACAAAATTTAAAATTCTTAGCCAAAGAGCTCCTCTGGTGCCTCTGACCAAATAGCAATCCCCAGGATCTCATAAGCTCCAGCATGAGTCCTAAAGTGGAATAATAGCACTGTAATTGTGCAATGTGAATGGGCCCCAGGCAGGAGGCAGTGTATAAGTGGCAACTGTATTAACTCACTGAACAGTGGTTTTATTATACTATTGTATTTTCGTGAGAAGGTGGTACTTGTGTGATCCTCTAGATAACAAAACAGCTTGGCTGCAGATGGATGCAATACAGTTTGAGCTGTCTTAGGAAACAAAGTACTCTCTCTTGCCCTGTCTGTGTGCTTCTCAGAGACATTGGTGAGCTACTACTGGCCAATGGATGCTGAACTATTTGTTCTGATATAGCCAATTTCTTATTTCCATGTGCTTGTGACAGTCATCTGGATGATGGAAGCTGATGTGTGGAAAAGTAGTAGTAGATGGAAATGGCTTGCAATAGAGATAGAAGCCTTTTGATTCCTTCATATCTGATAGTTTGAAGAGCTAACAGGTTTGGGTCAGCAGGACAGTTTTTAAAAGTCCCAGAAGAGAAATGCTCTGAACTTTTTATACTGCAGCAGGAATAACAAATTAGTTGGGGCTGTGAACATCCCAAACTACATCAGAGTACACACCAAATTCTCAGTTCAGAAAAGCCCAAGGGAATCATGCATATTTGCAATTTTCTTTTGCATAATTCTCTCATGCCTGAGGAGGAAGAAAGATCTATGCTATAGAACACTGCATTCCTGGCCCTTGACAAAGGCTAATCTGTTCCATTCGTCTTTGGCTTCAGAGATATCATTGAGTGCTACTCTCAAATATTTATCCTAATTTCTGCAGTCAGCTTGTTGATATGATAAGATTCTCTGCATCTTATAAGAAATTCCCAAATGACCGTACAGTACAATAAAGTCACAGACTTGTGGAAATGAACCCAGCAGTTCTACCATTATGGTCAAGCATGCTTATATAAGAGAGCAAGTAAAATATGCCACCTTACTTATGAAAAATGTGTGTTCCATCAGGATAAATGTCTTTCTTTTTCAAGAGGGCAATGGGTGAATTTGCCAGGCATTTGGTAATTATAAGTTATGGTATGGGTGATTGTTCTGGAACAATTGTCCACATCAGATAGTATGCTAATTCCCCCCCCCCCCCCATGGAACAAGCATTTGTGTTTATACAGCTGGCTCAACAGTTGTAATGTGGAAAATATCCTTTAGCTGAGTAGCATTTATTCTGCATCTTTTTGATATTTTGTTTTTTGGAGATAGGGAATCTGCAGTTCAAAGATTAAGTAAAAGTTATATGGTATTTTAAAAAAAAATGATTGTCAAGTCATAAACATCTGTTTGTCTCTGGAAATAAACAGCTATATTAAACAATATCCTTCAATCCATGTACAATAGCCTGAAGACCTGACAGTCCTTTTGATTCTTGGTTAGCCCTGTTGCTCTCTTTCCTGAACTTCTCTTGCTGTAGGCTGTGTTGCTTTTATGGATGTGCTTTTTACTGAAACTGGTTTGATGTGATGGGCATGTTTCTCTTAAGCCTGGCTTGGAGTTTCCATTATATTCTGTTAATTCTAACTTTACCTTTTTATTGCCCTTAATTTCAGACTATGGTTTGAAGTTATGATACTTTCAGGTAGATCTCACAGTCTTATTTTGGCTGTCAAACTTTGTGGAAGAGTTGGTCAAACCTTTACAGAAATGGATGAAATGTTTTGTCTAGTACTTTTCTCTGATGGAATCTGGTTTGATACACTTTATTGAAAAAGTGGCATGGTAAAGGTGAAGGGGCAGGGTTAAGAAATACCTGGCCTTCCAGATATTTTGAATGGTCGTCTCATAATCTCTTGGCAGGTAGAATGAATATATGAATGAATGGTCAGTTGCCACCTACAGCTAGTTGGGTACCTCTGGTGAATTTACAATCAAAGAATGAAGGCAAAATTTCCCTTCATTGTCTCTTACAGTTGCAGTTTAGAAGTCTACACCATCTGAACATTGAGACTAGCCTCCATGAATTAGTCTAACCATTTAATAGTGATCTATGATAGTGTCCAGCTTTTGGGAACCAATTCTCTAAGTAAATTTTTGAACTTTCTTCCAGGGTGTTTAGCCCTCTAGTCTGTTGCAGAAAATCAGCAACAAAAAACTTTAGTGGCACATGTTTTATTTGATATAAATTCTTGTGGGCTGCAGACTACTTCATCAGATACAAATTATGCATATTAATGTATGTACTGGATCTACTGCCTATCTATTTCACAGGTCCTTGCAGAAGATAATGTGAAGGTTCAAAACTGACCAGAGGGTGAAGAGAGTGATCATTAAGTTTTTAAATGCATTGCCTCTGTCTAATTATGAATGCGTGTGGTTCACATCCCATCTGTATTAGACAAACTCATCTATATTAGATGTGCTTTCAGATGGTAGGTCCAACAAAATCCCTATATTTAATCTGCAGTTGACTGGTCACTTGGATCTATTAATGGGCTATTTCAGACCTTATGACAGGGAGGTGAGGTTAGTTGTTCATGGTGCTGCCTAAAATAAGAATGAGATGATAAATTGAATTTGAAGAAATTTCCACAAATTAAAAATAAGAGGGGAAAAACTGTTGTGACCACATAGTTGTCTCTGGAGATTATCACACAAGAGGCAAGCGTCTTCTTCCCATCATTAAATCACCATTAAATCCTGTTAATAGCATGATTGAGGGAAAAATTATCATACCCCTGCGCACTTCTCCTGTTCTTATCCCATCTGTAAACAGTAATGGAGGCGTCATTTGGTATTAATGGAAACTCCTGTTAATACCAAATGATGGGTCCATTGCTGTTTACAGATGGGACAAAAATGGGAGAAGCACACGGGGGTGTGATAATTTTCCCCCTGATGGCGCTGTTAGGACAATTTAATTATGATTTAATGATGGGAGGAGGACGCTTGCCTCCTCCGTGTGATGTTCTCCAATGTTGTGCTTATTACTTAACAGAGTTGTGACTCTGTTAAGTAATAAGCTGTCAGGGGAGGGAACTATAATTTTTTTACTGGTAGAATTTACTTGTGGTTCATGCATTTAGAAAAAAAATGTGGGGAAAATTATATGCACATGTGCTAAATGGGTTATTTGAGTTTTCCTGTTGATGGCTGCTGCAATAGTTCTGTTCAACTTTTTCAGCCACTATCAAGAAGACTGACCTGCATTATGTCTGAACATTAGAAACTCTTATTTTGTGTTATTATAGCTTATCATTTTTGCAACTTGTTAGGCATTTGCAGAAATAAATGCAATAAGGTGATGAGTTGGGGAATTTAAAGTATCTCCAAATGACTTTCTCATTAGCACTTATGAACAAACTTGCTTTCAGATTTTTTGTCTTAATTTTTAGTATACTTTCCCATGTGGATTCAGTGTTCATGCTTTAAGGAATTTTGAGTGTCACAGTGCCCTGTTCAGTGGTTGCTTTTCTTATTTCTATGACAAAAAAGACATAGGTCCAAAACACAATGAAGAAATAATCCAGTTTGAGACCTGCCTGGCTCAGTGTTAGGGAATCATGGGAATTGTAGTTTATTGTGGCACCAGAGCTCTCTGACAGAGAAAGCTAAATGTCTCACAAAACTACAGTTCCCAGAATTCCCTAGCATTGATCCAGGGCAGTTAAAGTGGTCTCAAACTGGTGAGATTGTCGCATGTGAAATCCATACCAGGTCAGTGACGGATCTTACCGCAATGCCCCTTCCCTGGGCAGGAGGCAGCCCATATCTAACCTGGGTTTCTCCGGCACCTTTTCAAAAACTACTTATTTGCTCCTACTATTTTTTGAAACCCACTGCTGGTAATTTACCCTTCTTCTCCTGCTTTGGATCTATCTGGGAACATGCCCT